ACCGGGCGGCCGGAACGTTACGTCGGGCGTGGCGGTTTGACCGATACGAAGCCGCTTTATCGGAGGCGAGTGTATAAATCGGCCCCGGCTCAAGAAGCAGCGTGGAAAGAGAAGCCATTGATGCTGAGTAAGGATATAGAGAGGTTGAGGAGACCAAATAGAGGAGGAAGAAGAGCGGACTCAAGAATAACTAGAAGTACCGCAAAACAGAGTCTATTAATATATTTAAGTTAATTATTTGACACGTGTAACATCACGCGGGACCCGCTGGCAATTATTGTGCATTCTGGGTCGAGAAAGAGATCCGACGGACAAGAAGCAGTCGGACAGTATAGTGGTACATCGTTTTTATTTACCGATTGACCACGCCGTCATTATTATTATTATTATTTTTAGTGTTTTATGTGTTGTGTGAAAGCTCAAATAGCTTGATCGTTGATGTTATAAATTTGTGATTCACATTAGTGTTCAATCACATGGTATTTTGATTGCAAGTTACCAGTTATATTAGGAACGATTAGCAATTATTTATTTATTTTTATTATTTTAAAATATAATATTTGTAATTCAATAATCTTTATTTAAAATATTAAATAATGATTTGTGTTTCCCAAGTAATTAAATTATGTGTTGAAGGGAAGAAAAATGATATGAGAGCATACATGTTGTAGTTTGTGATGTGTAATGCCATCAAAATCAAGTCGAGATATGCGACGATTAGTCTTCCAAAAGAACTAACTCTCTTGATTGATATGATTATTCTCTATATAAAAAATAGATTAAATAAATTTAGATAAAAAATATGATGACATATGGCTCAAGCTGATATGCATTTTATGTTTTTTTTTTCTATTTTAGCGTAGGATTAGATATGAACCTTTTTGTGATGAGCCAATTTTATGTGTAAGCTAATATGTTTGATGTTGTTCTTGTTGGGCCATATACAAATACTCATTATTCAAGTAATTCATTTCGAAGAAGCAATTATTGATGATCGTTGAGATGTTGGCGAGAATGTTGGAGGTTATTGACAGTGATGAAGTTAATGGTTCACTTTTTATTTAGCAACGTGATAAGCTGGACCAAATGCTTCAAAGAGATACTTATACACAATTTGCATAATGATTTTTTTCATCGACTAGATTCATACTATAATAACCCCTGAGGCTAAAGGGGATTTGACTTCTTGATGCTATCGACCATTTTAGGCTTCAAAGAAGCCTCGTACTAAGGAGGAATGCATCATATATGATCTTAAAAATTTCTTTTGAACAATACACAAAACCAAATATTATTTATTTAGGTATAAACATAATGAGATTTTTTATGGGCAAAAGTTCTTGTGATTAATTTTATTTTGAGTGAGATATTTAAGAGCATTATAGATTATGAGTATTTCAGATACATTTTTGATTTAGTTGAAAATAGGGCAAAAGACATAATCCTAACAAAAGGAGTCTCAAAGTTAAATGGAACGTCCAATTGAGATGAACCCATGAAGAGTAAAACAATAGTAGTGAACAATGGTGCTAATTGAATGATATGTAATTTGTTTCCTCCAAATATTTTGAGTGATAGCGAGTAATTGGACTAGACATTATAGGGATGCACAAGAGTTCACTGCAATCTTAATATCCTAGGAGGGATTCATAGAAGTATGAAGGGGACTTGTATTATGCAAATGATGATGTTAGAGATATGCATCATACGATCCACAAAAAAATGGTTGATGCCAAAAGAAAGGGAAGTCAACTCTATACTAACCGCAAAATTTAGATTAAATGAAGCGATCGAAGGAACAAGACTCATAGTTCCTTATTAACTAGATGAAAAATACTTTGGCCTCACAATATCCAAAAGAAGTATATTCCTTAACTATTCTCAGAAGTAGGATTTATAACACCGTTCATCTCAAATGCCCTCCCGAGTCTTGTATAAATGATAGGGATACATGAGATTACTCTTTCACTCATTAGAAAGATGCTAAAGAAAATTTTTACAACTTAAACATGGGACATCAAGAAGATTGTTGAATGATCTTATATTCTTTAATTATGCAGCGCCATCGAGTCCACCTATGTAAATTTTTAAAGACATTTCTTTTTCATTGTGACATGAGATAAGTTGGTAGACAATGAAAAATTGGGTTTTATATCTTGTTCTATGGGCAAGGGGTTTGATTTGCACAAGAAGATTGTTATGTCAATGATAAATGTGATGCTAGTTAGTCTACGGGCTAGCACATCTCACACAATAAGAATGCTAAACCAAATTATGGAAGCCGCAAATACTTGAAACATGTAAAGTTAAAAAAATTATATTCTAATCACATTTTAGAGCCGCAAATATCACCCTTTCAAAGTATTTCATCATTAGAACCTATGTAGGTGTTATCATGTATTAATTTATGCTAAGATAAAGACTAAAAAAGAAATTAAGATATTTAGAAATGTTACTAAATATACTACTTTTTACCATATCTACCAAAAAATTTATTTGTATAGACTTTAAGATGTTTCAAGTCATAAATGTTTCCTTAACAAAGACAAACCTCTATCCAATAGTATCCAATAGTTAACAATATATATAAGACAAACCTCTGTGTGTGTGTGTATATATATATATATATATATTTACACACACACACACACACACACACAGATATATATATATATATA